AGACCAGGGTGGAGCTGAGGGCTCTGGAAATGCCACCATGGGTGTGTGTACCTTCCTGGCATGAGAACAGGTACCTCCAGGAGTGCTCAGTGCTCACTCGCTTGCGCATGTTCTCTCTCAATAAAAACCAACAAACTTTTCCTTGGCCCCATGTTCCATAAACAGGAAAGGACTAATGAATGAATGCATGCATGCAATTCATGTACAACTAGGTGGGAAGGAGGCTGGAGAGAGAAGGCAGGCCACTGCCCCATGCTTCCTGCTCCACGGCCTTTTTCCTGTTTCAGAGGTTTTGAGGGCCAATCTATCAGTACCACGTTCCTTCTGCACAGTAGTGAGGGGGACAACCCAGCTCCACTAGAAGTCCCTTTATTCTCCACTTTCAATAGAAACACTCAGATATTTCTAGCCCTGGTGGCTCAGCTATTTGCTGGCCAAGTTGGAGCAGAAATGGAGGTCCCCACCACCCACCAGCAGCTGGGAGGGACACACAGCAGGTGGTGAGCTGTGGCCAGGTTCTGAGTGCTCAGGCTCTCTCTTTGGTGAGAGCGGTGACCTGGCAGTTGGCAGTGATGGCATCCAATGACTACATTCCTTTCTCTTTGGGGGCATGGAGAAGCAATCAAACCCACCAGTCATGGCACAGGCAGAGCTGGCCCAAGACGTTCCTCCTTCCTCTGTTCAAATGTATGAACCATGCAGTGGATGGGACTGAGCAAGGCCTAGACCACTGACAAGCCTCACACATGCACAGAATGGGGGTGCATGACACCTTCACGCAACCCCGGCATCCAAGCTCGGGACCCCTAGAAGGTGCACCTTCCAGTGGGGTCAGGTCAGGAGCCGAGGAGCCAAGTAGGGACCGGAGGGATTCCCAGCCCTTTGGGGACAGAGGGTTCCCTTAGGGAGCTTGCAAAAGGAGCCCCTTGGAAGGGGGCCAGAGTCACAGCCAAGTCACTGCTACATAGGAACATGCTGTGAAAGGCTCAGCCTGGCCAGGCTGGGCTGCAGAACAGGAAAACCCTGAGACCCAAGGTGTGCCCTAAATGCAGCTTTTAGTCAGAGGAGGGAGAAAAGGTGACTGGCCAGGAATGGAGGCAAGGAAGGCCACGGGGACAGTGGGCACCAGTCCAGCACCTCCCCAGCACCCTCCTTGCAATCCACATGCACCCCCCCTCCAGAGCTGGAAGACTCCCCGTCCTTTAAGAATGGTTTCCAAGCGCCAGAAGATGGGTTCAGTCCTTCCCAAGCCCCAGCATTCCTGCCTTCCAGGCTTTTCTATGCCAACTGCACCATTTTACATAACCACCAGCAATGCACAAGGCTTCTAATTTTTCCACATCTTCATCAGCACTCAATATTTTCCATTTTTTAGAAGTAATAACTATCTAATGGGTGTAAGGTAGTAGTATCTCATGGTGGCCTTGATTTGCACTTCTATAATGATTAGTGGCATTGAGCATCTTTTCACGTGCTTGTTGGCTATTTGTACATCTTCTTTCGAGAAATGTCTATCAGACTCTGCCCATTTTTGAATTAGGTTGTTTGTATTTTTGTCGAGTTGAAGGGGTTCTTTATATATTATAATATTAACCCCTTATCAGATATATAATTTGCAAATATTTTCTCCTGTTCTGTGGGGTGCCTTTCTTACGACTGTTAATACTGTCCTTTGATGCACAAGTTTTTAATTTTAATGAGGTCCAATTTATCTATTTTTTTTTTAGCTGCCTATGCTTTTGGTGTCATAGTCAAAAAATTATTGCCAAATCCAGTGTCATACAGATTATCCCCTATATTTTCTTCTGAGTTTTATAGTTTTGGCTCTCATGTTTAGGTTGTTTAGTTTCACACGTGGTATGGAGTAGGAGTCCAACTTAGTTCTTTTGCATATGGATCATCTTCATTTTTAACCCAGCTCCTGGAGCAGCAGAGTGGCCTCTGCACACAAACCTATGTGCCCATAGTTTGGCGCCCAGCAGGCACCCAGGAGAGCTGTGGGTCCTGTTCCTACTCCAGGCTGCTTCCAATCATACTGCCCCCTTCCCACAGGGTGGACACATGACCTGGCACCATCAGCCAGAATCCTTCTCCCGGGTTTTATATTTACTGATTATGCACAAAGCCCTCACCCTCTGCAAGCCTCAATTTCTCCTTTGTACCCAGGGAGCTGAACCCAGTGAAATCCCCTCTCCCTGCTACATTTTGGACACACAGAAAAATCCCTAGCACACCGGAAATGTTATGTGAGGTCTGGTCGCGACTGCCTGTTCCAACCCTACCCCATACCATCCGTCCCCAGCTCACTCTGCCCCAGCCACACAGCCTTTAGCTGCTTACCCTACCGCCTGCTCCTCTTACCCATATTGCTCTTCCCCCACAGCTGGGTGCTGCTCCACAAACTTAGCAGCTTTAAACAAGGCATATTTGTTATCACGGATTCTGTGCAACAGGAGCTCAGGCTTAGTGGGGTCCTCTGCTCAGGGTGTTGAAAGTCTGGGGTTGCATTCTCCCGTCCTCATCTGAGGCTCACAGGTTGTGGCAGCATTCAGCTCCTCGCTAGTGAGGGCCCAAGGTCCCTGCTTTCTTGCTGTCAGCAGGGGGCCATCCTCAGCTCCTGGATGCTGCCGCCTGTTCCCTGCCATGTGGCCCTGTCTACAACATAGCAATTTACTTCTTTAACACCAAAGCCAGTGCTGGATAAATGTTGTGAACTGATGAATGGATAGACAAGGGATCATTAGCAAGAACACGTGTGCCAGGGTGCAGGCTGCTCAAAATAGCTCCTGCACTGAGGATACCAGATCTGAGGTAGCCTCTGCCCACCCCCTGCCCTCCCCCAACTCATGCTCCAGCTCACTGCTCCCTCCTTCCTACACCAATCCCAACACTCTCCTTCCAGTGTGAGGGTCTTTGAGCCTCACACCACCTTCCACTAGGATGGGAGTTCTTTCTGCTGGTTGGAACTCAGCAACCAGGGCCAAGGGGCCACATCTCTACCATCTCCAGATATCCTCTCACCACACACAAACATGGAACCGGGGCATTGTCTTGAATCTCCTGTTCCAAAGGATCTGGCCCAGGTCCTCCACAATCACATGCCACATCTGATCAGGATCCTCAAACCATACCCCTCATTACCCCTCCACGCCACCCCCAGCTGATCAGCCGTGTCCTCTCTCTGTCCCCTGACTGAATTGAGCCCACATGGATCCCTGGTTCTCTATACTCCAGCAATGGCCACCACTTTTTACTGGCTGTTGCTATTTGCTGGGTGCGTTCTCCATGGAGCCCTGTACAAACCTCCTGGAATCTAAATGAGAAAGATGGTGTTGGAATCCTAGGCCCATATGCCTCAGCAGGAAGCTGGTCTCTTCAAGTGTAACTCAACAGCCATGTGCCACGGGGCAGGCCCACCTGGGACACTTGTTACAATGCAGTTCCAGGACCACTGTGAACCAAAGGTGCGTGCCCAGAGAGCAGGTGTCTCAGACAAGCCCCTGATGATCCTGGCACCCTGAGATTGAGAACTACACAGCCCGGGAGGCTGTGTCCCCAGCCCAGGCACACCTTGGGTCACTGTGGGGACCCAGGAGTGGGCAGCCCCTTTGGAGTTCAGAGCCTGGGAGGGATTTGGAATGCTCACATTTTGTTCGAGGGGGCCGGGCCCTCTGGCCTTTGTCACTACAGCCAGTCCCTCTCTCTGTGCCACTGCTGACCAAGAGTTACCCTAGGCAAAGCCCCCTCCCCAGCCCAGCAGAGCCACCCCAAGACCCCCAGCCTCATTTTGCTCCGCCAGAGAAACAGGATGGCTGAGAGCACATGGAATTCATCCACTGGGCATTTGATAAGAGCACAGGGCCAGATGTGGGCCATAGCATACAGAACCTGTGGCCCCTTGGCTTTGGGAAAGCCAGCAGTCTCAGCACAGGGCCAAAGAGCAGACTCAAGGGGGAAGGAAGTAAGGAGGGAGGGAGAAGGAAGATGGAGGGAAGGAAGGAAAAGGGGAGGGAAAGGCGAGAGTGACTGTAATCCTCCGCTGTCCAGTGCCCGCAGCCATGCGGCCTGGTCCAGAAGCCCTCCACACCCACTGCTGCCAGATCCCAAAGCGCCCACGGGCGGGCGGAGCGGGCTAACCTTGGAAAGCGCCCTCTCCACACCCAGAGCTGGGATTTGGCTAGCGTAGCTGGCCCTGGGGCTGGGGGACTGGGGCTGCGGCTGCGGCCGCGGCCGGGGAGGCGCCCAGCGAGGTCAGGAAAGGCCAGCGTTCGCTAAAGGTTTACGGGTGGGCTCAAGACCCTGACTGAAGCCGGGGTCACAGCGGCCCCCTCCCCCACCGCTGGCAGCTCCGAAACCCCTCCCCCTCGGCCGACCCCCGGGTTAGGGAGCGTCCGCACTTTTCCTCGAGTCGGTCAGCCTGGCTCTCGGCCGTTTGTATCGGCTCAACTCATTGGGCAGATTTGATGTACCCCCCGCCTAGCGTCCCAAACTGGCCAATTGCAACGGGTTTCACAGGGTGCCGTACTCGGGGGATCGTCACCGTGCTGCGACGCTCTTGGGAATCCTTAGGCCTCGGTCGCCTTTATCCCTCAACCCGGGGCCTTAACCCTACTGAGACCAATGGGACCCGTGCCTGCAGATATGCCTGCGGAGCATCCGGGGAGCCCTTGGAGATCTTGGCCTCCGCCTCCTCCGTGGCTTGGCGGCGTGTCCTCGAATGCACGCTCGCATCGCAAAGGGGATATTGCAGACGTTCCCTCACACCAGAAACGCGGCTCCTTTAAGGGCGCAGGTGTCCAGGGCGCCGCCTGACTGGAAAGCCGCCCCCCGGCCGGGCTCCCTGGTCGAGCCCGGGTCATGGTCGTGCGGCGGCGGGGCGCGGGCGGCATGCAGCGTGCGGCGGCAAGGACCCTTCGGGACGCGGGGAGGTGGCGGCGACGTGCGGTATAGGCGCGCGGCAGACAGCCTCCGCAGGCCCCGCCCCGCGCCCCGCCCGCGCTGGGGTCCTCTGAGCGCTCGGGCTGCGCGCGGAGCGGGCTCGGGAGGGAAGTCCCGAGACAAAGGAAGCGCCGCGCCGCCTCCGTCGCCGCCGCCTAGTCCACCTCGCTCGCCGGGCCGCGACCGCCCTAGGTGAGCGCGGGTGGGGGGCGCACAAGGCGCGGCAGCGGGGCGGGGGCCGGACCTTGGCGGCGCGGGGCCTTCGCCGCCGTCGGGCCGGGCCGGGCGGGTGCTTCTCGACCCGCGATCCCCAGGGCCCCGACCTCCGCCTCCTGCGAGACCCCCGACCCGACCCGACCCGGATCTCGCGCCCGGGAACTGTCCACCTCGGAGCTGTTTACGCCGTGGACTACGGTCCGACCCTTCTGGCCCAGCCTCGACGTCGTCCGGGCCTTGCCCCTTGGGTTCCCGTCGCCTTCCCTTGTGAAAGTGTTGGCGTCCCCTCCGGCGTGCGCTGGCGGTGCGGCGGGGGAGCCGAGGCAGGGTTGACAGGAGCTTCCCTCCACCGAGGGATGTGCGTTTCCGGGGTCACGGGTCCGCACACAAACCTGTGGCGCTCTCCAGCCGGCTAGAGAGGTCCAGCAGAGTTAAAGTCTTGGATTGCAAAATTGCTGGCTCGATTTGGGGGGGGGGGGGGGGCGGCCAGGGGGGTATGTCTAAAATTCAAAACAAGTCTGAGTCTTCCTGTGACTCTAGAGAGCTCCGCTTGCCGTTGGTGGAAAACTGAACATCACTTACCCAGAGAGAGAGTTTTCTTTTGTTTTTAAGGTTGCTTTGTATCAATTGAAGGGAGGTTGAAACTGGTATTTTCATGAGAAGAAAAGGAAGGGAATGATTAGATGGGTTCAAGATCACGGTCTTTAGTCGCTCCTAAATCAGTTTTAACTGGTTTGGTTTGTATATTTTGAAAACATGCTTAGTTCCTGGGTTTGCAAAGTTACTATACTGGGCTTGCTTAAGTTGGTTTTTTGTTTCCGTTGAAAGACTATAGCTCTAAATGTTTCTTGCTATTGAGGAGTTGTTACCTTTAAGTAGAGAAACTATCCAACAGACAAGGGAGATGGATACTAGCTTGTCTTGATTTGCTTGTGACCTTTTGAGTAGTTTAGGGGTTAATTCAGGGTGCTGTTGTGTCTTCGGTCTTGGGATTTGGGACTTCACTGCAGAAATAGCCTCAGGCCCTGGGAGGTGTGTCCTGAAGGAACGGGATGTGCAGCAGGGGCAGGGGCGGAGGGTGTTTTGAAGCAGGGTGCTTGGATCTAGCAAAGTGAATACCTTCCCTCTGAGGGAGTTTGTGTTTGGGTGGGAACCATCCAGGGCTTCTTATCTACTGTTCATTTAATCCTGGGCAAACCTGTGGGGTCAGAGTACCATCACCCATTTTATAGATGAGGAAGTTGAGGTTGGGAGAGATGAACAACTCACCACACTCACAAAGCCAGAAAGTAGCTCTGAAGTCTCTGCTGTCAACCCGCAGAACTGATCTGAGAGGAGTGGGTTCAAGTACAGCCCACTGCCCCGGGGGCAGGGAGCTCTGGAGGAAGGTGGAGGGCAGACCTCCCAGCCTTTGTCCTGCAAGTTGTCTCAGAGATTCATGGACATTTTACCTTTGTATCTACAACTTTGCTGCTCTGAAGCATCTAGTAACACTTAGCTGCTCCTTAATTGCCTCTCTGTTGGGGAGGGAGGGAGGCAGAATCAATTTCAAGTGGGATTCTGAATGGGCGCTTCTGTTTTGTAATTAAAATGTTAATAAATTGGCCACTTTCTCCTGGACCCCAGAAGGCCACTAGAAGTAAAAGCACCAGCTTAAAGACCAAATGTTTCCCTGGGACAGTGCAGGTGAGCACCTGTAGCTCTTTGCCTTGACGGCAGAAGGGATCTTATTGGTGCCTGGTCTGGTCCATTGGCACCCCTGAGGAGGGGGCTGCAGGAGCTCTTTTGGGACCACTCTTCATTAACCTTTCCTACCTTGGATAACCACAGCTAAGTGCTAGGTTAGGACCTCCATGGGCACCTTTGTTCAGTCTTGAGAAAAGGCAGAGTCCTTGCATAGGGTCAGCAGGCAGGCAAGCTGTACTTGAGATCACCCTGCTAGCCTCTCTTGAGTCCTGGCCTGCGCCAGGCCCAGCCCCTCTGGAGCCCTCTGAGCATTGTGTCACCCTGCATCATTTCCATGCCACCTCAGTGTTCTGGAGCTGGCCTAGGGCTTCAAAAACCTGTTTTGATGCCTGGCCTAGCTCAGACTCACTAGGGACCGTGCACCTAACTTAAACAACCATTTTCTGGGTTGCTTGTCTTCAGTCACTGAACTTTTGTGTTAGTTAATCCAGCAGAGGTGTCCTACCAGCCTGTGCTGTCTACTTTGTCATGGGGAAAGTCAATGGGCAGAGGGCACTACTTTGGAAGCTAATCTGGGCTGTGCCCTCAAAGCCTGGATGTGGGGATCAGGAGGGCATTTGCACTGGGATGGGGATAGCATTGGTTCTTGCCATTTAGAAGAACCAGTTGAAGTAAAGGGTTTGGGAAGCTTAGAAATTAAGATTTTTCAGGCATTGGGGCTACCACCCCAGCCTCCCAGCCAGTCATCACTGTCGCTGCCCACTTCAGACGAAACTGGCTGGTGTGCTCCTCTCTCCCACCTCCCTGCAAGCTCTCACTTCCCTCGTGCAAGCCACGCTTTCCGCTCTTCCCTGGCCCGCAGTCATTTCTGTTTATGAACCATGCTGCCTGGAGCAATATCCTGCCAGATTGATGCAGGCTGTGCTTGATGGCCACCTGGCCACTGTTTAAAACAGGTGTCTCTCATCCTCATAGTCCTTCTTTGCATCTCCTTGCACCTAGCACTTCCCAGTACATGGCGTCCTCACCTATGAGCCCTCCAGGGCAGTATCCTTGGCCGGCTCTTTATGAGTGCCTCAGTGGTTTGGTCAAACTCCCTCTGGGAAAGAAATGGGCAGGCCAGGGCTCTGGGTTTTGTGGTGGTGAAGAGAAGTTCTGTTGGGTCCAGGCCTGGTGTTAATCTATTTTGGACTTAATCTCGAGGTCAGAAAAGGTTGAAAGGTGCGTTCTGGGGTCAAAGTGCTGGTGCTAGGGACCATCCGTAATTGGTGCATCTGTTACCTGTCTCCCTGACAAGCTGTGCTTCTTGACTGGAGAGCTTTGAGTTTTGACCCTCATTTTTCTTTTTTCTTTTTATTTTAAGATTTTATTTTCAGAGAGTGGGAAGGGAGGAAGGAAGAAAGGGAAAGAAATATCAATGTGAGAGAGTAACACTGATCTGCTAGTTGCCTCTGGCATGTGCCCCAACTGGGGGCCAAACCTGCAACCCAGGCATGTGCCCTGGCCAGCAGTTGAACCAACAGCCTTTCTCTTTAACAACCAACTGAGCCATACCAGCTTGGGCAGACCCTCACTTCTTGTAGTGACAAAAACCATACCTATTTTTTTAAAATGTGCAGCATCCGGCAGGTCTTGTGGTTTATAGTAACTCACCCAGAGTCCTGAGACCTGGGGTTCTGGGTGGCATGGGGTGCCACAGTGTTTCTGCAGTGGCAATCCCAGACCCCACCTTCTTCTCTGCCTACTCTTTGGGAAAACAGGGTCAGGAGCACTGGAGCCCACCCAGAGTTCCTGACTCCATGGGGGCCTTTGGGGCCTGGGAATGTGTGTTTGATGTCTGCTGTTGAACTGTTGACCTGACCTAACCCCTTCTGCACAAATAATGTGAGCCCGAGGGGACAGGGCAGGGCAGCGAAGTTGTGTGGATGCTGGGGTGAAGGGTGCAGTTTGGGTTGCTGAAGCAGTTGTGGGTCACCTGGAGCTGAGGTGCGGCAGGGAGGTTGAATCACTAGTTACAGCGCTAGGGGGTGCTGCAGCAGGAGGGAAAGTAGCCCTGCCACTCACCCACGGGTCTTCTGAGTGAGCCGGAAGACCACCTGGGTTTCTGTTGCGTCTCTGCCCTTAGCAGGCAAGTTACTCTGGATCTCCCTTCCTAACTATCTCTAGAACAGGCCTGTGTGGAGGCTGGGGCAGTGGGTGAGACTAGGCTGGAAAGCATGGTTGCTGTTAAGTGTTGTCTTTGCTGGAAATGTGTTTTGCCATCCAGGGTTGAGAACCCTGTTGTAATTGTAGAGGCACTGCACACTGCACTCAGGAACTTGAGGTGCTGGACCTTTTTCCTACAGAGGCAGGGCGGAGACCTGTCCCCTGGCTTCAGCATAAACCTGAAGTCTTGGGGAAGCTGCTGGTCACCGTTTGTCTTGTTAAAGCCTTGTTTATGGTAAATACTTGATTCAGGGTATCTTCAGTGTTTCCATGCACTTTAAAGACCAACAGACACACTTAGGATAAATTCTCCAGCAGGTTTTGTGACCATGTCACGTCTGCATCTGCTTTCTCATGGACAGCTGGGAGTGGGGTTACAATTCAGTGCCCTGCAGTTTGGTCTGGTGTGCCAGGCACCCAGAGATGCTGCTTTACCTGAGGGCTCTAGGCCACTAATTTGAACAACTAAAGGAGCTAAGCTTTGAGCTTCTGTATTCCCAGCCTGCCGAGGTCTTCCTGCTCCTGCCTGGTGTTCTTGATGAGTTCTTGGGCCCTGCTAGCCTGCTCCCCTTTTATTGACTTCCCCAGAGTAAATGGGAGATAGGCCTTGATCAATTAGGTTTTCATGGAGTGCCGGGGGCGGGGGGGCAGAGGAAGGAGCCTGGCATCCTGGTGGCAAGTGGGTCTTTTGGATGCTGGGGCCAGATACCCTGTCTCTGGACTTGTCCACAATGTAGTTGAGCTGCCCTCTGCCCTGGAGCACTTTTCCGCTTGGTTGCCTTCAAGGGTCATGATCCTGGCTAGGCCTGAATCTGAATTCTGAGCCCTGATTCTAAGTTGGGGGCCTGACAGTGCCCCCACATTCCTGCACTGGCAAAGGGAAACAGTTCATCCCTGCCCTCCCCAGGTCTCAGGCCAGCGCTCCAGATAACCCCACCTTGTCCTTTTTCTGTGTAGCCTGATGGTAGAACTGGATCCCCGTCACTCCAGCCTGCTGCTGGGTGTGACTATAGGGGGGTGGGACAGGCTGGGAGTACACAGCTTCCCTCCCTGTGCAGCACCTAGTAACGCTGTGACCCGGCCCTGTGGCTTCACCTCTGAACCTCAGTGTCACCATGAAATGGAGTCTGAAGGGTGTGCCGTGGAACTTGCGCACTAGGCATTTGGCAGGGAAGGGGCCTGCATGGAGGTGTCCAGTAGGTCCAGCTGTCTTCCCTGGTGACCTGCCTGTGGGAGAAGGCTGGCGTCTCCCAAGGGGGCCTGATACCTGTCCAGACTCTGGGCAAAGCAGCTTTCTAAGAGCAAGTGTGATCTCTGTGGGCCACATGAGAACCTTAACTTACCTGCTTCTTGGGACGAAGTCTGCTCACTGGGCAGGTATGAGAGGGAATGGGCAGGAGCCGAGTTATCTTCCTCCTGATTGCATCTCTGCTGTCTCTTTCAGGACTTTGAATATGTCGGGGATCGCCCTCAGCAGACTTGCCCAGGAGAGGAAAGCTTGGAGAAAAGACCACCCATTTGTAAGGAAAACTTTATTTCTTCATGTAGCACAGTGGATCATCCCCCGACACTACCCAGTCCCTATGGACGGACAGGGCCCTATTGCAAGCCCTGTGCCACCAGGTGGTGGGAGGCACAGGGTTGTTCCTTTGAGCAGCCACCCTGAGCTGCCACAGCACTAATGTGCTCGTGTGTGGTTTTCTCTCAGGGTTTTGTGGCTGTCCCAACAAAAAATCCCGACGGCACGATGAACCTCATGAACTGGGAGTGCGCCATTCCAGGAAAGAAAGGGGTAAGAAGCGCCCGTGCTCATGTGAGGGACAGACCGCTGGGAGTGCTTCAGCCCTTCAGAAGGACCTAGGTTCAAGTGTTCATGACATGTGATGATCACATAGGCCGGGGACGAGAGATGGTGGGACACGGTTAGGGTGACATGTGATACCACCCCACCCCAGACGGTTTTAATTCTGAAAGAAAGAGCTGGGCTGCAGTGGGGGTTTTAGGCCCAGACCCTGCTTCCTCTTTGGGAGCATAGAGAGCCTTGGAGAGAGGATGGAGAAGGGGCTGGGAGTGCCACGAGGGCCTTCAAGTTTTTCCTCCTGGAAGTGCTAAGGCTGGAGCAGCCTGGACACGGCAGTGTTCTTCCTTGGTGTCTGAGTCTGGAATGGCTGTAAATCCCTGATGCAAGGACCAGTCCTTGACCAGCTGTGATGGCTGCATGGGGGTCCATGTGTCCTTCACATACAACCACAGTCTTCCCAATATAGTGCCACCTTGGCTCCCCTGAGTGGGCCTGAGCCAGTTAGAACCAGTTCATTTGAGGCATTAGGGAGTGAGGGTCTCCAGTAACTCAGTGTACAGCTCTTCCCGGTGACTTCAGGGGAAGGAGGAAACCCCTCAGGCATTTGGGTTGTGCTGAGGCCTCATCACCTCCACTTCTTCCCACTCCTGGTCTCTTGTGAGAATCTGCTGTGCTCAGCCGTAGCGCTTCCTGATGATCTTCCGCAGTACTGAGTTGGCAGGATTAGGACTCTGTCCACAAGACGATGTGGTCTGTTTGCCTGTATCCGAAAGACTGGCGAGGGACGGCGGGGTGGCCAACATGCATGCCAGCCTCCACTGAGCCCATCATCTTAGGGCTAGGCCAGTGGGCTGTAGCTGTCTCCCTCCCAGTTGGGAAGAAGTGTTGGACTACAGAGCTGGGAGGCTAGAAGGGGTCCGCACTTGAGCTCACTTAAGTCCTCGCCGTAGCCACTGAGGTGCAGGCCCTGACCCCCATCCCGAGGTTGGAGGAGAAGCTGCCATGGGCCACTTGTTTGCTCCTCTCCAGGGAGAACTCTTTCTCATTGACCCTCAGGAGGTCTCGACGCTCCTGTTGTGGGGACATTGGACTGCGGGTGGGTCACTGGGGGCTGTGAACAGCAGCACACCCCTCTTCCTCCGGGGCTTCTGCAGCAGAAGGTGGCACACCCCTAATCATGGCTTCACTTCCCAACAGACCCCTTGGGAAGGAGGCTTGTTTAAACTACGGATGCTCTTCAAAGACGACTATCCATCCTCACCTCCGAAATGTAAGTGCAATGGAGTCCTCAAAGTTTGGCTTTGACCACGCTCCAGCAGAGATCCAAGTCCCCTTCAGAGAGCCTGACTTCCAGGGGTGTTGGCTATTTCATACACTGCTCTGCACAGGGCGGCCTGGCTCTCTGAACCCTGTGGCTATGGTTATATCACACTGATCCCTGTGGTTGACTGCAGATGTGTGTGTTCTAGCCCTGGGGTGGGGGGCATACCTAACAGGCCAAGTCTCAGGTCTCAGCTCTACAACTCGGAAGCCCCTGGGTCCTAGAGAGAAGGATCATAAGATCCAGGTAAGGCTCCTGAACTCTTAGTACCTGTCAGGGATGAAACCGCCACATACCAGCCCTGGATGGGAATGGACATGCAGAAGGACCGACAGTAGAGGGCCTCACTCCTCAGAGGGTTTTGTTCGCCCTGACCCATCATCTGTTAAAATTTCACAGCCAACTTGCACCTACATGTGTGGCCTGGATGGATAGCACATTAAAGCCTCCAGAGAATGTGGCAGGAAGAAAAGGCCAAGGCTGTGTTTAAAACAGCTCTCCAGCTAGACCATCATGATGCAGTTTAGCAAAACTCAGGGCAGGGAGAGGGGGCACCAAATCTCTCCCCTTTGGCAGCTGGAAATCAAGAGACACTGTCAACGGCTGGTTGGTTAAATGAGTTGACATGTGCCCCGGCATGTTGGAAAGTGCCCAGCACACAAGAAGGGAAAACTGTTTGTTACTGTTAACTCTTGTGGTTAATAATTTGAGGAGTAGAAGTATGTCTTCCATATAATGACATCTATCAGAAGAATTAATAAATTATCAATTCATAGGGTAACCAGTGGGATGGAGACATTTCATTGGGGTGGTTCTTTACTGTTTGGGTTTTTTACTTGCTTATTTCATTTTTGGCCATGTGTAGGTATTACTTTAAGAAGTGAGACAAATTGTAGTTGCTTTCATCACTTCTGTTTAACATTGTATTGGCATTCCAAGCAAATGCAGCAAGGCAGGGAAAAGAAATCCCAACAGAGAGATGGGAAAGGAAGACTTGGATCATAGACCATCTTTCTCTAAATCTGTTTAAGATTGCTGAATAAAAGGTTAATACAAGGAGGGGGACCCCAAAAAAACTGTAATTATCTTCTGTAGGGTGGGTCCCTTACTGTAGGATGGGCTTCTCCCACTAGGTGAGTGCTTTAGGAATCCATCTGCATCAGTGTACCAGCTGGCATTGTTGTGTGAGGCTGTGTTTGGCTTCAGCGAATTTTTTCTGAAGCCTGTTTCAACACATTGGCTCATTTTATGATGGATGATTTACAAGCACATCTGGCCACACAGTGCTGAGTGTGTAGCAGTTTTTGACCAACAACAGCGTGACCCCTGCACCCCACCCTCCTTCCTCCTTGTGTACCTGATCTTGCCCCAAATGACTTTTTGTTTGTTTCCCTGGATGAAAAAAAGTCCTCAGCAGAAAACATTTTGCTGGTGTGAAACAGGTGAAACCCAAAAAACGGCAGAAAAGACATCAAAATCAACAAGTTCAAAACTTTTAAGCAGTGGGAAAAAGTCTCGATAGGTGTATTGCATCAAATTGAGAGTACTTTGAAAGTGACTGAGGTTTAAACATAAGAATACACAATTTTTTAGAAATGCCTCCTGGGGGCGGGTTTTGGGTCCCCACATGTGCAAAATCCCATTTTCATACAGTTGCAACAAATGAAAGTTTTAAAACTCTACTCTTTATAGTAGTATCAGGTGCCTTGGTATAAATTCAACAAAAGAAGCTTAAGACCTCAATACTGAAAACTAAAACATTTCTGAGAAAATGAAGGACAGCCTAAATAACTGGCTACATGGGCTGTGTTTATGGATCAGAAGACACGTGGTTAGAAAAATGTCAGTTCTCCCCAAGCTGATAAATAGATTGCTGTGTAATCCCAGTCAGAGTCCAGACAGATTTTTGTGGAAATTGTCACGCAGGCTCTAAAATGTAGGAAGTGCAGAGTGCAGAGAATTGCTGTGGTCCTTGGGGTTTTAGGAAGGGAGGGTGGTGAGGCCCCAGTTGGGGTCACTAAGTAAAAAGGACCCAGACCTGTTAGCAGGATGGCCAAGACGTGAACCAGATTGAGGTCTGCTGCAGAGACACAGTAACTGAGATGAAGAGCAAAGAATCCAGATAAACTGTAGGTGTACAGTGGCGTGGTTAATGACAGAGGTGACGCTCTAGTTCATGGAAGGAGGAAGGCCTTCTAATGCATGGACTCAACAACCAAGTGTCCCCCTGGTAGAATAGAGAATTCAGTCTCCCTTCTACCATAGACAAAGTCCTTTCTGATGGACTGCGATGCCCACTGGGAAGGTGGGTGGGACAGTGCACGAGGATGTCTTCATGACTTGGATAGGCAAAGCTTTCTTAACCAGTGGAGCATGAAAAGTGCTTTTCCCCCAGAGGGGAAAAATGATCAGTTGGACTACACTGAAGTTACGACCATCTTGTCACCGAAAGACACCACTGAGAGTGAAGAGGTAAGATTATATATACACATGAGTACTTACCGTGAATGTGTCATGAGCATCTATCTATGAATAAGAAAAAGGCAAACAACCATTTGATGGAATAGGCTCTTTGCAAGAGGTTCCCTAGCTGGCCAATCAGTGTAGAAAGAGATGCCTAACTTCTTTACTGAAGAACTGTAAGTTACAACCACATAGTGAACAGACAGGTAACTGAGGTGGGAGGTCTCAGCTGTGGAGCAACCAGTGCCCTCAGATGCACACTAGAGAAAAAGTAAGTTTTGAACATTTTCTTAGGAAAGCTGTCTGCCATGTCTACTGAAGCTAAACTTATCTAAGAACCCAGGTGTTCCATTCAAGTATATATTCAACAGAAGTGCATGCATATGTTCACCAAAAGTCATGAACAAGTACGTTTATGACAGCCCTGTCTCTAAGAGCCAAAAGCTGGAGACAACCCAAATGTCCGTTCACAATTTCCCTTACAATAAGTAAGTGCAGAAGCAAGAATGAAGGATCTGCAAGTACACAGCATGGATGAATCTCCCAAACGTACTGTCAGGTGGATGAAGCCAGACACAGAGTCGTTTGTGCTGGAGTCCTTTTATGAAAAGGTCAACAACAGGCCATGCGATGGATGGTGTGAGAAGTCAGGAAAGTGACCTCATAGAAGAAAGCCAGACCCGAAAGGGGGGCTGAGGAGCTTGGGTGTGTTGGTATTTATCATTGATACACTTTTCTAAGAAACGAGATTTATAAATCATTAAATTAAAATTAGGAACTTGTGTTCACAAAAATGTACAATTAAAAGAACAAGAGGACAAACTCAGAGTAAGAGAAGATATTTGCAAGACATGTAGTTGACAAAAGGCTTGAGTCCAGAATATGTAAAGAGATCCTACAAATCAGTAAGGCAACCCCAATAGAAAAATGTGTAAGAGACTTGAACAGGAACTTTGCTGAAGAAGTAGCCAGTTCATCGCAATACCTGGAAGGTGCTCACCCTCGGTAGCCACCAGGGAAATGCAACTTACAGCCATAAGGAGCAACCCCAATTCATTTAACAATGGCTAAAGTCCAGAGCTGACACACCAGGTATTGACAAAGCTATGAAGCAGTGAGATGTTAAAATGGGTAGAGCTGCTCTGGAAACTAGCAGTGTTTATATACATTCAACATAGACACCCTGTCATCTAGCATTTCCACATGGAAATGCACATGTGTGCACCGGAATTCACATCCAGGAACAATCACAGCTTTATTTGCATTTGCTCAAATGTGCACCTGCAGTGTGGGGGCAAGTCCATGGGGCAACCAGACTCCCAGTGGATGCTGTGCAGGAGTAATGGCTACTACCTGTGAAGACATATGACCCGTGTGTGCCGATGGGGAGATCCTCATGTGGTCTGTGTGCAGACAGTTTAATACGTCCTCCCTAGGGGGTTGCAGTTTGGGTTAGTAAATGGAGTGGGTGGTGTATGAAGGAGTTTTCCAGGAAGCTGTTGGTGGATGTATTCATTTTTTTTGGTAATTCATCACGCTGTACTAGCTTGTATTTTTCTAAGTATAATTAACGTTTAAGAATAGAAAAGGAGAAAGTACCCAGGAAAAAAGAAAAAGATAATATGCTAAAATGTCAGCTGTGGTTAATGATCCCTGGGTGGGGTTCATGGTAGGTTTTTTTCTGCTCTTTTATATTTCACATTTTTTACATGTACTGATTTTTTTTTTTAAGAGAATAAACTTTTTTTTTTTTTTTTTTTTTTTTAAGAAAAACTATGGGGTCCTAAAGGCCTTTGTTTTTGAAGCAGAATGAGATGCTTTGAAGATGGCCACTCATTTGGACAGACCTCGGCTTCTTCCCCAGGATCCTTTTCACCTGCTGCAGTAGCCCCTTCCCGTCTTCTCAAGTCCAGACTGGCTGGGGAGGGACCTGGGGATACCACCTGGGCTCTCTAACTGCCCACTGTCCTGAAGCAAGGTCCTGGGGAGGGATGCGGTTCTGGCTCTGAAGGCATGCTTGCTCCTCTCCCAACTCCTCCCACCTTGTGGCCAGTGTTTTGTAAACAGTTCTTTGGGAGATGCCTAATGACCAGCAAGGTGTTGCGGTACAGGGGAGATGGGGATGTCATCAGGACAGGACATGATTCTGTAGGACAACTGCCACCAAAATATGTTTCCTTTCTTCCGTCTGGTCCAGGCAAATTTGAACCACCGTTATTTCACCCGAACGTGTATCCTTCTGGCACTGTATGCCTGTCCATCCTCGAGGAAGACAAGGACTGGAGGCCAGCCATCACAATTAAGCAGGTATGCAGCATGATAGCTTCGCCTCCCCTTCTTTCAGGACCAGAATTTGCCTTTTGAACTGCTGATCCCCCGCCTCACTTTGTTTTTGTCTCTTACACAGATCTTATTAGGAATACAGGAACTTCTAAATGAACCAAATATCCAAGATCCAGCTCAAGCAGAGGCCTACACAATTTACTGGTTAGTAGCTATCTGATCCACTTGCCGCGACCTTTTGTCAATTTGTACAGCCATCCCTGGGAGTCCAGTCTAGGCTGCGTGGTAGGAGCGAGAACAGTAGGCAAGCTGTGAATGGGTAGACAGTCTTGATGCCCCTGACAGCCTATCCCAAAGCTCACGTGGTGGCAGCTGGGATCAGCGCCGCAAAGAGGGGACTGTAAAGTGTCCATGGGGGCACCTGAGGAGGAGCTGCATGTGCAAAGGGTCTGTAGTGGCAAGAATGGGCAGCCAGGGTTGATGTGGCCAGAGCAGTGTCAGTGGGGCGTGGCAGGAGGCAGATGACATGGGCTCCTGTAGACTGCCTTGCCCCTGGTAAAGCGGTCAGGCAAACCCTGTACCTCTAGGAGCCCAGTCCAGCTCAGAGGGAAGGGCGTGGACACTGGAGGAAGTGCCCACCTCTCCCCTGTTTTGGCTTAGCCTGGGTGTGGCCACTCCGGGGGACATGCTCCACTATGGGAGTAGCTCTCTCGAGTTGCTTTTTGGTGCCCCAGGTGCTGTAACATCCCCAGCTGGGTGTTGTGAGAAGACAGCCTGGTGTGACTTAGAGTGAGTGATGGAGCTAAACATGGCACGTGGGGCTGGTTGGGTGGACAGTGGGGAGGACCCTAGCCTTCCCGGCCAGCCTCCTCAGCCGTTCTGGGTTGGGGGCTCTGACCCCTACTGCTCCACCTACCCAGGAGCCTGGGGCCTAAGGGGCTGGCTCACAGGGAGAGGTCGGGCAGGGACTTGTTCCTTTGAATGGGCTGTTTCTGGAATTGCAACAAGTCAGAAAGAAGATAGGCCTCTCTGAGCAACAGAGATGGCCTTAGTTCATCTAAGAGAAGCACCAGATTGCTACAGATGCATTTCTTCCCCCAAAAATGGCTTCCAGTTCCTGGGTCTAACCTAGTTGTTGGCCAGGGGTGCCCCCTGGTGGCTGAGAGTGACAAGATGCTCCTGGGTAGGGACTGAGGTCCACCTTCTCTCAGCTCTTGGGCTGGCTGCCCCTGCTTCAGACTTTAGTGCCATCTTCTCTGTGAGGCCCCCAGCCAAAAGAATTGGCTGTAAGCGATTCCAGCAGAGCTTAGTTGGAGTTTACTCGTGTCTTGTTCGCTGCTGTGCATCAGCAGGTCTGGGAGATGAGTCCTCATATCTTGACCTTTGAGCTGTTTTTACTGTGACTTCTGTCTGCATCAGGCCCTGTCAGCCTGCTCCTCTTTGTAAATAGGGCCATTTGGGTCCTTGCTGTCTGAGCTGAACCTTTGCGATAGACAACATGGCCCACAAAGCCACAGCAAGAGTGTCTTTAGAGAGAGCTTTCCGGTCCTGGAGTGTGTTGCAGTGTGGGTGTGTGATGCCTTGGGTAAGTTGTCTGTCTCGATGCCGTGCCTGTGGCCCGCAGCTCCGTCTGCTGAGGTGCTCACCATTCCGTTGCAGCATTGGCAGCAGGGGTTCACAGGGTCCCTGCTGTGTGCCCGAGTGTGCTCCTGGTTGTGTGGCTCTGGGCCTACTCAGGACTGGAGCATCTTTTGTGTACTCCAGGCTCCTTACATGCCAGATGGTGTCATACACTCCTTCACGGGAATGGATCATTATTGCTTCAGTAAGCATCTAGTTTAAAAGCACCTCTTTTTTCAGATCTCTCTTCTCATGTTTTCAGGAGTGTGTGCCCTACACTAGCAGGCGCCCCGGTGCTCTTGGGCAGACACCCTGTGCCCAGCCTCACTTGGTAAATAGCGGGGCTGGACTGGGCTGCCTCTGCTATTGTTTCCAGCTCTTTCCAGGGTTCTTCTAGCTAGCTGCCTCCACCCTGGGGGTCTGGGCCCTTCGCCAGGGTGGGAGCACAGGAGCACAGGCTGCCAGCAGCACAGCCTAGAGATAGAAGCTTGTCCTCTGGCCTTTGTTCTTGGCCCTCAGCTGGGCATGTGCTGACACTGGCCTCCGGGGACCGGTGTGCACCTGGGTGCCACGCCAGCTCAGGGCAGGCTCTAGGCAAGTTTCCACCTCTGCTGGTGCTGGCATTACTGTCTTTCTCCAGAGAGCCCAGTGAGATCAGCCGGGGCACCAGAGCCTATTGTCTGCACTGGGCGGAGCTGAGAGAAATTCTTCACCTTCAGAGCTGAGGTGGCCCCTCTGCCCCTCAACCCTGGGGCCTGCATGTGGGCCAGGACCAGTGCTTTGAGAGGCCACACTTGTTGAGAGCACAGCTTTGAAAGAGCCCTGGCACTCTTACTGGGGTATGAGTGCCCCTAAGTGCATACGCTGTGCCTGAGCTCCGAGAAGGGTTCCTGACCAGTCCATGAGGTATTTGCCGAGACCTGGGACCTGATTTGTCAAGGAGCCCTGTTCATGACATTATTGTGTACCCACAGACCTCAAGGTCACATTGATCCCCGGGTAGCAGCTGGTCTCTTCTCTGATGGCAAGTTTGCTGCCCTCCCACCCTGCCTATCATCCTGGCCTGGGCATCGCCTACCAGCCCCCTTTCCCTTGGCAGCGCATCTCACACTGGAGTCCCAGTCGAGGTCCTCCGAGACCACCAGAAAGCTGCCCCCACCTCCAGACACACTCAGGACTGAGAGCCCCATGCGAAAGCCCACCAGATGTCTGTGTCCGTTTCCGAAGACTAGATGGGCAGTCTGTATTTACTCTCCAAAATGACTAATGCTATTTCAAACAGGAGAGAGAGAAAACTGCTGGTCACTGGTTAGGCTTGTACACTCCTGGCCCAGGCCATTCTAACGTGTCTCTCTCTTGACCTCCTCAGCCAAAACAGAGTGGAATATGAGAAAAGGGTTCGAGCACAAGCCAAGAAGTTTGCACCCTCATAAGCAGCGACCTGCGGCAACATCAAAAGGAAGGGATTGGTTTGGCAAGAACTTGTTTACAACATTTGCAGATCTAGCATTGCTCTATACAATTACTAGTCACCTAGGGGAGGCAGGCGGGCGCCATTTTCCATTTCCGCCACTGGTACACAGTTCTCCACTTGCTGAATTGCCCAGTTTTTCATACAGGGTCTCTTCCTTCAGTCTTTTGTATTTTTGATTGTTATGTAAAACTTGCTTTTATTTTAATATTGATGTCAGTATTTCAACTGCTGTAAAATTAAAAACTTTTATACTTCTACGAGTCCCTGAGGAGCTAGTTCCTTTTGCTCGTGGGTGCAGGCATGCTTCCCACTGTCAGAGCTACACATAGCCTCCAGCTGGCTGTATGAAAAAGAAATCGGCCTGTCCCCCGCCCTCGCGCCTCTGTCCTTCTCTTTGCAGAACCCGGGTTGTGTTGCTATGAGCCTCAGATCCAAAGTCAGCCAGCCTCTTGTTTCCGCACCACTTCCTTTGTGTTTATATGGCGTTTTGTCTGTGTTGCTGTTTAGAGTAAATAAACTGTTTATATAAAGGTTTTTGTTGCATTATTGTCATTAAAAGTGAGGAGGCAGCCTTGGGGTGTGTGTCCCCCCCCACACACACACAGCTGTAGGCCCCACAGAGCACTGGCCTCTGCCCTAGCACGTATTGCTGCCTATGCCTGGGTCCTATGTGGCACTCGTCCTGGTCCTTTGTAAATAATGCTGTGTGCAAAGATGGCGTATGTCCAGGGTTTCTGTCCACCTCGCCTGGGTCTTCGGGCTGTAGATCATTAGAGTTCAGATCCGGTCAAGTGAAAGTTGATGTCAAGATCCTTCCTAAGTGCGTGCTGCCCTAGCCACTAGGAGGAAGAGATGCCTAAACCCAGGCCAGGGCAGAGCCCGAGTGAGGACCACATCTAAACCACTGGCCCACCTCAGTGGCCAGTGCAGGCTGGCTGAGGGTGGCTGGGCCACGGCATGTGACCTCACATCTGGCACTGCCCTTGGGCCTCTGCATGTAGCGTCTGACCCTTCCATGCTCACTGCCTTGGTCCCCAGCCCTGGGTGCAGGTAGTCTCAGGTACCAGACACCCACAGAGAGCAGCACTGAGGGCCACTGTCACATGCTTTCTGTCTCCTAGAATGTTCTGAATCTGGTCACCTGAGGAAGTGGCTCTGGTCACCTGAGGAAGTGGCTCTCCTCAGAACCCCGGAACCTGAGCCCACAGCAGAGCGTCTAGGAGTTGGCTGCTAGCGCTGTCATGAGCAGTCCTGGGTCCTGGCTCAGCAGGGAGATGCTATAGATGGAGACAGGAAGTGGCAGGCAGGGACCTGGCCCTGGATCCCAATGAGCACAGTGCTGACCAGACCAGAGGCCCAGAGCCGGCCCTCTACCAGCCAGCCTTGTCCTCCCACCCCGAGGACTCTTGTCAGAACTGGGTTACCTGTGGCTCTGGCACATGGACTGAGGGTAGGGATGATCCCCAAAGGGGTGGGAGCACAAGGAGGGCTGGTCATCCGGGCCCTCGGCCAGGAAAGGGTGCCTCTGTTCACCCCTCAGTTGACAGCGTGGCCCGAGGGCCCAGTGCCTTGTTCACTTGCTCATCTACGTCCGCTGGGTTGCTGAGCTCTGAGCTCTCGGTTTGATGTTATGATTATTTCTGACGCAGAGGGCCTTATGCGGGGGGTTCAGTGGGACATGTGTGTATAGCCCCTCCCAGAATGTCTTATTTTGTAATGACTGAACTACACTTAGTAATAGTTACACATGTATATGGTTAATATATATGGAAATGCAATATATTTTCTAGTTAAAGCATTCTAAAGTAATCGATGTTTCTAGCACATTGTCGTGACTTTGGCTAATGAAATGTCCTTTTGTGCCACAGTTCTTGGCTTAAAGATGTGAATCTTGTAACAGGAGAACTATGAAATGTGATCATTCTGTTTCTACTGTAAGGGAAGAGAGTGTGTTCCCAGCATGAGGCACCTAATTAGTGAGGAATTGTGGGCAATAGATTAACCACTGTATCTAAAAATCCTCTAATTAAAACATTTCCACAAACTGCTGCCTGCAGGGTGTGTCCTTTTCCTGCCCCACTCCCACACCGGCCGCCCCTACTTGCTGCCGCTGTGCCCAAGGAGCTCGGGCCTTCTCTCCACGGCCTCCAGTAGTAGACCCTCAGTGGCCTGGGGTGGGGGGTGGTGTCTTCTTGAACTGCAGTCAAATCCCTTCTGTCCCCTCTAAGACCCTGGCATGGGCAGCCAAGGCTGGAATGCATCCTGTTGCTGGCCACTGGCCTGCTGGAGCAGGGTCTTCCCACTGGGGACCTGGGGCTGTTCTTGTCACCTAGACGGGCCTTCTCAGGGAGCAGGGTGCTGTCCTCACTGAGCCAAGGTGCACACAGGCTCTCAGTTCAGCCCTGATAGGGCCCCGGGGCTGAGGGGCACTAGGTAGCCCTCAGCCTCCATCTCCCCAGCAATGATTGCTTCGAAGCCTGAGTCATCTCCCAGCCAGAATGTGGGACCCCTTGTCCTCCTTGGATTGTCCCAGCCAGACTAGCGCTGTGTCCTCACACTTGTCTGTCCTCAGGCCACCTCTCTCCCTGACCTGCTGGCCCAAGGCCTTTCCACATCAGGCTCTGTCATGGGCAGCCCCCAGTTTGAGGTTGCAATGACAAGTTGGCAGATTGGAAGGCAAGCATTGACTTGGGCTGGCTTGAAGAGGTCTGAGTCCACTTCAGCTGGGAGGCCTGAGGAGCGCCTGCACAGCGTGTGCCCTGACCACCCTTCTGCTGAATCTGGGGGTATCCTGCAGGAGTCCAAGGGGCTCAGAGGCTTCCAGATGCTGTGACCATCTGCAGAGGCTGTGGGCTCCATGGGGCTAGAGCACCAGCGTCCCATCCACCCTGCTGTCCCCAGACCCCGCAACTGGCAACAAGGAAGCAGCAAAGTCACAGAGCACAGGACTGGGTTCCTCCCTCTTTGGCTCTGCCCTTCCAGGTGGCCCTCCCATCCCTTCTAGGATGCCCTCCTGAAGAGGGGCCGGCTGGATGCTCATGCTGCCCCTTCCATTCCTCCAAGGAGGTAAGAATCTGGAGCCCCCACAGCTAGGGACAAGGGCATCTCAGCGCTCACTCATGAAGGGAATGATCCATGTTCTGATGGAGGAGCCGGTGCTGGACCTACTTGTAGCTCTGTCTCCTGATGCTGTCCTGGCACCACAAAGTGGTGAGTGCAGGAGGTGCTCTTGCTGGAGGTAGCCCCAGCACACCTGCCTCTGGGACAAAAGCTGATGGGAAGGCCAGTGAACAGACTGCTTTTATGCCTCAGGCCTGGCATAGACTCTACCTGTGCAGGTGCTGGCAACAGGACCCCCCACTGAGCTTCTGATGACTATGCCCCAGGAAGCAGCATCTAAGACAAGGGGTCATCTGGGGCAGGCCCTCCCACCCGCAGCCACCTCTGCTGGCAGAACGACCTAGGATGGCGTAGGCAATGGGACAGATTCCTGCAGTCCTCAGGGTTCTCCAGCCCGAGTCCCATGGCCCACCCCTTTTCCCTGCCTCTGTCCTGGACAGGTGCTAGGGTTCAGAGGGTGGTGGGAGGAGCCTCACCACCAAGAGGCTGTGCCTACAGTTCCAAGAGCTGCTGCCAGAGAGTGCGAGCTGGTGCTTTATTAAAACCTGAAGCGGCCCAGGCTGGTGTGGCTCAGTGGATTGAGTGACGGCCTGCAGACCAAAGAGTTGCCAATTCAATTCCCCATCAGGGCACATGCCTGGGTTGTGGGCCAGGTTCCTGGTAGGGGGCGCACAAGAGGCAACCACACATTGATGTTTCTACCCCCGTCTTCTCCCTCCTTTCCCCTCTCTAAAAATAAAGTCTTTTAAAAAACAAAAATAAAACCTGACTCACTGAGGTGTCCTCATCACCCGATCAGCCATCATAGTGCTTATCCAGAGCCGGGTGCTTTTCTCCTGGGCCTTGAGGAAAAACCATTCCTCCCAACTGCCAGACCCTTTCCTTCCAGAAGCCCAGAGCCCTGACCTTCTCTAGGCAGAATGCCTTGTTCCCGGACAACTGCTGTGACATGTGCATGTCCCCACACTTCCCCTCACCATCTCCTGCTGTCAGAGGCCTGGAGTGGAGAGGCCAGGGTGACACTTCAGAGCAGAGTCTGGGGCACAGGCAGGAAGAATGGGGCAGCACCCTCCCTGCCCTCTACTGGCTGTGGGATCAACAGGATCGGCTTCCACCCCCAAACTTCAGAGGTGGAAACAACGCCCTCCCCAGCTCCCTGGAGGCCAGAGTTCCCATCCCTGTGGATTGGAGGAGCATATAGCGGGCACTAACCAGCGCATGCTCCATGCAGACACCAGCTTAGGTCCCCCAGCAACCCCCAGGATGGGCACCGCTATTTTACAAATGAGGGAAACTAAGGCCCAGAGCAGCAGAGGGGAGCAACAGGGCAGGGCAATTGAGCAACTGGCTTAGATAAACCTGACTTCAGTCTCAGAACAGATAGGGAGAATGAAGGGATTAGGCACAGATGAGGCCATTGTGCCAGTCCCTGGAAGTGTGTGTGGAGGGAAGCCCTGGGGAATCAACCTTTCCTAGGAAAGCTGAAGCTCAGGGCTGAGCTTGGGACCCAGCCTGTTGCTGTGCGGCCCAGCTCAAGCCCTTTTCCCTGTCTGGGCCTCAGTTTGCCTGTCTAAGAATGACGAAGTCTCCAGGGGCTTTCTGCCAACAGGTTAGTTAGTTTTAGGGCCGGTGCCTCTGATGCCTCTGGCCCTGCCCTTGGCACCACCCCTCTTCAAGCAGCCCCTCCTAACTTCCTGTTTACAGCAGCTGAGGCCTCAGCTCTTCCTACCAAGCCATCATGATCACCATGGCAACCAGACCGGTGTGTTTATTCCAACAGGTTGGCAGAACCTGACACAAAACTGCAGGGGTGAGGGGCACCAGCTCCAAGATCCTGGCTCAGGACTTGGCAGTCACCCAAGAAAGGACAAACTGAGTGGCACAGGGTCCAGGCTCCCTCTCCTGCTTCCCTGACTCATCTCTCACAAGCAGTTGATCACCTCCTGCCCCCATTTGCCTGACTGTCCTGGGTCAGAGCTTCTGGGAAAACCTAACCTGCAGTGCAGCCTCTAACCCCTCTGCAGTGCTGTTTCTCTCTCTCTCTCTCTCTCTCTCTCTCTCTCACACACACACACACACACACACACACACACACACACACACAGTAGTTCGACTGGCATAGGGTGGCACGGTTGTGAGTCTGGATCTGGAAGCTGAGACAGGTGGTAGCCCCATCAGAGCAGTGTCCGCCCCATCCTTGTGTAAGGGGGGGAAGCTCCCTGTAAGTGGACAATTCACTGAAAGGCACAGTTGTCATGGTTGGGCCTCCCTGCATGGAGCTATGCTCTGAGGCCCTACTCCCCCAGCCTTTGGCTCTCCCCTCAGCTTGCCTGACCCCTGGCCTTCCCAGAGAGAAATATCGTTGCCTCTGGGCCTGAGTCGTAGTGGGTTCCAGGCTTGTCGTTCTGTCCTTTGGGGTGAAAACTCCAAATCTCGGTCTGATCCCCAAGAACAAGGTGTTCTGAGGATCCAGCGGGATAGGCCAAAGGCAGAGCTGGGATCTGGGACCCTGTGCACCTCAGGAACAGAGGTCTACACAGCCTCCATGGTTCTCCACATGTAGTCCCGGGAGGCCCAGCAGCTTCTGGAGCTTTTCAGAAATGCAGATGTCCACCCCAACCCAGGCTTTTGGAACCTGTAGGTTTGGGGTGGCCCAGCAATGTGTTAACGGGATCTCTCTAGGAGACCACAGTGAAGTTTCAGAATGCTGTGGTGGACTTGGAGTGAGGAGTCCAGAAAGACACTGAAAGTGGGCTGGGAAATGCACAGGCTGGGTCCAGCTCAGGCCCTGGTGTTCCACAGGCTGTGTGACCAGGCCTGGGCCCAACCTGGGGTGTCTGGGGCTGCATCTGGATCACAGGGAGGATCACCCCAATAGGTAATCAGGGTTGTCATGGGGCACCCTGAGTTGATGACTGCAGCACCCATCGCCCAGCTTGCGGCCTCTCCCCCCTGAGAAGAGGGAGCCGTTAGGCGCGAGATGGCGAAGTTCCTGGGGTTGACACAGGGGACAGCAATGGG